GGCGAAGTTTAACGAAAATGGAAATTCGTCCTCCTATTCGTGGAATTTAACGCAAAATTTAACGTCAGGCTACCGAACATTTGAAAGTTGTTTTTCATTACAAGTCGACGGGATTTTTCGGCCTCTATAATCATTCTTGCCAAATGATCTTTTCGTAATAGTGATTTAGGGATAAAATAGGGGGGCATTTTGCCAAGGATACGGAGGTCGGTGAATCAGCATTTGGATCAAGGGAAGCAGCTAAAGCACGTGGCGCTGGTGTGGGGTTGTTAGGTGGGTGGAGGATGGAGCAACAGTAAAATGACTGTTATCAGAAGAGCGCGTATTAACCTGCGACTGTTGTGGAGTTAGACGTGCCATTACCGATGTTAATGCTACTAGCGTCAGCCGTTTTCTGAGCATCCTGTGGGGCTGGAGACAGAAGATGGAATTTAAAACAAGAGTACTGTGTCCTCGAGCAACAAAAGTCGCAGCAAAGAAGAGTATTCGGGGGGTTTTGACAGGTTTGAATAACTCAGTTGACCCAATTGTGAAAAACTCATGGCCCACACTAGCAAGGAGACAGCTTTTCCACAGCCAACGCTCTACCCTTGAGCTACAAGGCTCACCGTGAGTCATGAGTTTAGTCACCTTTGGGTCGATTTACCCGCTCAACCTAGTGATCTTATGGAATCCCCCATTACAGGTACAGCAAGTTGACTGCTCAGGCAGGATTTCCTAAGCAATTATAATTTATTCAAAGTTGTCAAACCCCCTTATAATTGAGTGAGCCTAGTAGTCATTTTGGTGGCTTCTAGATGGTTGCTTAGGCAATCCTGCCTGGGCCGTCAGCTTGCTGTATCCGTAACGGTGGGTTCCATACGATCACTAGGTCGAGCGGGTAAATCGATCCAACTGTGTCTTAATTCATGACTCACAATGAGCCTCGTAGCTCAATGGTAGAGCATTGGCTGCGCAAACGCCTTCCCTGCTGTGTGGGTTCGATTCCCACCGAGGCCGCGAGTTTTTCATAACTGGGTCAACTAAATACAAGAAGGGCCTAAAAATCTATTCAAACAGCAGCCGCGATTTGTGTAAGACTGCCTTCCTTAGCAAGTGGGTCAAACTCAAACAGTTTGGAGCTTTTACATTTTCTTTACTATAATCAGATATAGCCTATGGTCACAAACATGCCGTTTGCACTTTTTCCCATTTGCCCGAATGACGTCAAGCCAAAGACTGCGAAGGCGAAGATATTGAGGGAATAGTAAAATTAAGTCTATTTCTGACTGGAAAATATCCCGGAGTAATCACCTGCGTTTGGGTCACCTAGGCAAGCTCCTCACTCCTATTAATGTGCATCTATAAATAAAAGACACAGATCTCACGAACTTACCACGTTTGAATATCTCATTCAACGCCGGTTGGCCGATGACCCGGGTAGATTGGGCATTTCTCTTCGGGCAACAGTTAAATCGTCGTTTTTTCCACCAAAACCAACAAAATGCCGCCCATAGGGCTGAAAATAGAATAGATTAGTTAGAAAATAATATACTGGACGCGGGAGCTAGTACCTACATAGCAAACGGAATTCTTTAAGTTTACTCATGGTTAAGACTATGAAAGGACTATAGCAGTGTTTAGCTGGTCAGTAAAAGGCATAAGCATGTGCGTTTCTTAGGTTCCCCACATAGGTGACTTTAAGCACCCTTCTCCGTTTGTTCGTCGGGTTTGTGGACCTGTAGGTTTCGATCGGGAGCTATTCACGTTGTAGCCTCGGCACTTAACAATCGAAAGTGAGCCCCAAGACAGAACGGGAGGAAAAAGTAGCGTAATCGATCATTGAGCGCCTGTGCATCAATGTAAATTAGAAGTACTTACTGATTCGCGTAAGTTGAGTTCAGAGGCCATTGCAAATATGAGTTAGTAGTGTGCTCTTTTAAGAAGAAAAGAACTGCCTGGACTAGACATTCGAAAACACTTTGAAAGATTTCCATTTTTTTAGTGACCTTGATTCGGTAGTCCACAAGGGGAAGGTGTTTTTGCAGCGAAGGGGCCTGTTGTATAGATCTGGTTTTCTACAACCACAGGCACTTTCAGCAGAATAAGCAAGTGCCTCAGCCCTGAACTGAACTCCAGGTCGTCGAGAGCGTATATGTTCGGATATGGCGTTATGTGCGATAGTAAAACCATAGTAGGTGGCTGTCAATAACGCCCACCAGACAACCGGAACTAAAATGGTGTGTTCAGGTCGACATAGCTGACCGCTGGAATGATAAACCCAATCAACCAATCGGATTAGAAATCAAAATTGGTCTTTTTCTGCCCGAAGTTTGGTTATATTAAGCTGACGGCAGCGGCATCTAAGCGACAAATTCCTGACGTTCCTGTCGCGGACGCTAAAACACCTCAAAAATTTCTCGTAGATGTGTTATCGCATGCAACGCATATGCTCCGGAACTAAGGTTGTAAACGACACGCGTGTAGTGCATCTGCGGAACTGCTAGTCAAAGATGCGCAAAATCATGGCGTTCGCACTCGGCGCGCTTTATCCCTACCAATCTATTTCTCACAACCTCATAATGGACATTCGAAAACCGCACAAAAATCTTTCCTGATTGTCTGCTTCGAGTCTTTAAGCATAGTATAAGTATAAAAACCGGTACATAACCGAGTATTAGGACGATAAAGGCTGCGGGTAGGCTCCACCAGGCCATATGTATGTTCTGCATTGGCACGGAAAGCTCACAAAGCGCTCCTGTCCAACCGGTAGGACAGGAGCATGCGACGGCCAAGGAGATATTGTCTATGGTAATCAAAGTATCAGACGGCCTGCAAATGCCGAGATTGCGGCAGGGGTTAGGATCACACGTGGTCTGAACGCATTGCACTCCATCTGGAGCGGACATCAGTTCCAGGCCATCGGGACAACTATAAAATAGAGGAAGAATGATTGTTAGTTCTATTCTGGGAACACTGAAACGCCAAATAATGCAGTAGAAATAACAGTATCGCTGTCGCTGTTATGCAACCAGTGAGTCGCTAAAAATAGTAGCTACTGCATCAACCACGAGTGTCTGGGAGGTGCGCAAGTATTGCGTGTTCGTCTTGTGCCTCGCAGTCGCTTACTAAAAGTTCTTCATAATCGACGTTGGTGGTTGACTTAGTAACTACTCTAAACGCTGGTTCATAGGTGTTGTTCCTCACAAAAAGTGTTCATTCACACGTCCACTCCGTGGATAATTATTCAGTACAGAAATTTGAGAAAAAGGAGATGCGATCGTCGGGACAAGACTTTTATTCGCCTGGTGTTTCGAAGTCCGTCGCAGATTTTTCATCTGAGACATTAAAATGAACAGTTGAAGAAGCAGGTTCCTACTACAGGCAGTTTCTAGTACAGACAGTTTCATCCCTTAGGGATGAAATCAGTCTGCCCACTTAAACAGCCACCAGGCAGCTCGCAACTCAATCTTTCAACCTGCAGATTCGGAGTCCTTCTTTCCTGCTCATGATGCCCGTACGGTCACCCGCGTCTAAATTACTCTTTAAAGTACTTCCAAAAATGTTTTATGTGGCCAACTCCAGCAGATTCACTGTTGACGAATCCAGACGCTTCTTCTCTAGCCAGCGTCTTTCGGCTTCTTCATTGCGCTAGCAAATGAATAGTTTCAGCTCAACCGGCTCGACAAGGCCGCTGGCGGCTTCCTGGATGTTCTTGATTTACTTCAAAGTTTGCGTCCCATATAGCTTGGTTTCTCCTATCACCGAGGCTGCGTAAGTAGCTACTTCCACTGAATGCAATTCACACGTACATTTCAGTTAGGACAGCCTGCTTTTCAGTTTACTGCAAGACGCCTTACTGTGTTGCTGAAGCACTTTTGTGTAAGAACTGGAAAGGTTAGGCACAGAAACAGTTCCGGTTCCTATGATCGGATGTTAGCGCGTTTGTACAAATGCTGTCACAGCGTCCGGCTTCACCGAAATAACTGAGAAAACTAAAAGAGCTTCCAAATTATAGTATCTTTAAGTGTATTCAACTAAATCTTATTTCTTTTGGTAAAAAGTGAAGTTTATAGACACGTTTATTTTGAGGACTACAGTAGATCAATAACTCCAGAAAAGTTTGAAAAATTATGAAAGATTGATAAACATCCGTAAAGGCTTTTAAATAACAATAAGCAACTTGAGGCGAATTGATAATTTAAATTAAACATGAAAGGTACTACTATATTACATAGAACCGCCAACATTTCCTACAACTTGGCAAATTCTGAGAACGTGAAACGTCGTGGTAGCTATAACTAATAAAGGCAAATCGTAGACAAAGCGTTTTGTGTATGTTATAAGAACTTTCCCTTTGGCGAAGTTTTCTATACTTATGTCTGATATTGGCTTACAATTAGGTTCAGATCGACCTAGACCTGTCGGCGAAGAATTCACAATGTTAGGTGATTGCAGGCGACTCGCCATTGACTGAGAGTATGCTCTGTGTTGATAACACTCTTCAAAATAAGTTCTTTTCAATATTTACAGAATTAGTACATTTGTGGATCTTCGTTTTAGTGTATATAACCGTTTGAATAAAATATAAACTGTGTAAAAAACAAAATCAGAAAGAAAGACCAATTCTAACTATTAACTGATTCCTTATAAGGTTAACCTTGCTGAATCGCTTCGGCGGAAGACAGTAATGTCAAAGAAAACTAATATTATCACAGGAAATAAACATCTAAAGCAATGCTCATTAGGGTGTAAAATAGAGGGACTTAACAACCGAAAGCACATCACATCTTGGGACTAATTTCAGTCCTCTGTCGAATGTTGAAACCTTTAAGAGCACAATGGCTGGGCTTTTGACAGGCACGTCAAATAGATGGGCCTAAGTATGAAGACACTTCTGATTTCAAGAGAAGACGGTATAAAGAGGTTTGGAGACCCGTTTATAGCCCGTCACTACATTCGTTTCGTACTTATATAAAATTTGTAAAAAATGATTCCAGCATGCATCCAGAATAGTTTTGTTTGTGATTAGCTTTCGTCTCGTGTGTTTGAAATTCACTGTAGAAAGTTTGAGAAGGTGGTAAGGAGGTAACATTGACTTCTGACTTATAGCCTGACACATAGTTTCTGTACATTAAAGTTATTAGCCTGAGGGAAGGCCATAACGTTGAGAATATAAACTTTTTTAGGACATATTACCGTAAGACAGAGAATGCAGAATGGCCACTTCTGCCTCATTAGACGTCGTCAGCTGGATATACTCTAGTCAAGTGTAGCAGCGGAAATTTCCGCCACTCTCGAGTTTTGAACCCGCGTCTCTCCGGTCAGAGGCGAACGCCCTCACCGTAGAGCCATCGGGCTCGACGTCTTGACGGTTGCTGATCGGGACTATACATTAGTAGCTAGGCGTACACGCCCTGGTTTACTGTTACTGCAACTTAGTAAGTAACATAACAAATAGCCATGTGGCAGAGTTCGTCGGTGCACGAACCATACAAGGACATCAAAAAGCAGGGCGGGTGTGCCCTGTATCTGATCGGTGTACGCCTATCTACTAAATATAAACTTTGTTTTTGGGTACAGGAGAGACTACAGTAGATACAGCTGCATTTTTTAATAATCCAGAGGTGTATGAAGGTATGTAAACTGGGAGATCAGGAACTAACACGCAGCGGTAGGACTGCCATTCCGGGATGCACAGCTGATTTCCTTCGCAGGGGTTTAGAGGCTGGCAGAGGTCCGCGTTGGGGCAACCAGGCTGCAGTCCCAGCAAACTGCTCCGGTCCACTTTTCCGAGGGGATACTGTTGGCCGCCAATGTTACCCACGCTCGGCACTTCGAATCGGACATCGCTAAGGCAACCTGGATTAATTATAACATAATAAAGGCAAATAATATATTTGTTTCTTACATTTGCGTTTGTCCTTGAATGCATTTGGGGAAGCACAAGCCCACATTTGGTTTAAGGAACACGCAGTGATACACAATGGCCACAAAGATGTTGCCTTGCATTTTTATCAAACTATTTTTAACTTTATTTTTTTTTGCAACTAAGTTATAACAGTACTAAATGCAAAATTGCATTCTCCATCTTCCGATAAAATTAGCTTCCTTTTTTTTACTAACAAGAAGGTGTTATGCACACGCAAATTGAGGCGTGTTAAAATAGGTTGTACATAGTTGCATAGATTTGCATTACAAATATCAGCGCATCAATCTCCCTTATATTAACAAAAAATATTGAACAACAGGACATCTAAAGATAAAATAAGCCCACAAGTTAAGATCAAAACATACATACAAAACGGTCATACTCCTCAAAGGCCAATTTAAAATAGTACATGAAAGTGCTACCGCTTTACAGATAGAAAGTCAAAGTTCATAAATAGTTTGCCTTGCACAAGTAAGCCTTAATTGAGAAATATGGATGAATGCAAAAATTCGCGTTCCAGGTGTTTGCATGAGCAAAGAAGACGGCTGATCGAGTACCGGAATACTCTATTTATTGTCCTGAGCTTTCAAACTCATACACAGAGTTCATCGCCAGAGGTTACTGCAGTAACAAAAAGGCGCCAATTACAGGGGGTACAAACCAATCAGCTGTCAGTGACACACGTTTGGAAGTGGCTGCAGGACTTTGTACGCCGGCGTTAAATCGATACATCGATCGAGTGATTTAGTTCTCATCCATAGACTAGGCTTCAATAAATTATCAGTTCGTCTGGTTTCCGGCGTTGGCGAGTATCTTGACAACTGCGAAGTTGAAATCACGGCCCGTTCCAAAGGTGTGAGCAGTAAATTGTGGTTATTCGTCGCTCAGTTTATACCATCGTATAATTTCCCCATTTTTATTGTTGCTGGTACCTCTGAAGATGAACTTCTCTAAGGATTTGCAAACTCAGGACCATGAACAGACTGTTCGGGTGCTCAGTCTCCTTTCTTGTTTACTTACTGATAAGCACGTTCTGAGTTGGTTGACATATTGAAAGGTATAGGTAGGTGATAAAAAAGAGGGCGAGATAAAGTATGTTTAATTTTAATATTTATGTTTCGAAATTTTGAGCCAAAAAACATATGCTAAATGTATACGAGTGATGATTATATTAAATGTAAGCCTTCGGGAGCACAATATTTTTCATTTAAATTCTAATATGCATTGCTGCTTTAAATATTTTTGGGTGTCATTTGACTCACCACTGGCAGGACAGAACGGAAACCTGACAATATGCTTCTTACAACTATGGACTTTGCCAAATAGTTCAGCCTATCTCCTTTCTTTTCTTTGTTGGCCTGATATTTCATATTTTCAATTAACTTCGAAAAAATCACCCTTTTTGGACATTATATTAAAATACCGACGGATGTCATCTAATAAGCCCCTATCCTGTTCGGTAGGGGGACTGCTGATTATAAAAGTTGGCAGGAACTACTCACACGCCTTCCCCGCCGCCACCTGGGAACAGGAATAGTCAGTAATGCAGTTGACCTTGTGGTTGAGTCTATGGAAACTACGATACGGTTGAGATACTGGTGAAAGTTAAGGCTACGGAACGGAACTAGTAACTGATCCTGGAATCTAGCACAAGGCCGCCTTATCACGTGGTGGCGGGTTCATATAGAAACGTTTCCAACCTGTTGGAAATGCTTCCATTCCCGTGACGTGTCATTGCACACAAAGGCGCCTGTGTGAACTGCCACACTGCCATGAAAGCGCGCACCTGGACCACGGCCAGCGACCATTCGTCAGCGCTAATTGGTCCATGTCGCTGGCACTTCCTCATCAAGCGGATCAATAAGTATACATAACCTTTCTGTGAGAATAAATCAATATTTTGTTAATACAGCTTTCCGCGTGACTGATTGCCTTCTCTTCCTTTCCTGGGCTGGCTGTAGGAACAACTATCTGGCAATCTCACATTTTCGTGTCAATAACAAGTACCAGGCGTGGGTCTTAACAGAATCAAAATGCGATTTTCGTGTGAATCTAGTTTGACAAACTTACTTGACTTTGCTCCGATGAGAAGACCTAAGTGTGGATTTGGCTCAGGAATGTTGGCGTCCACCAATCGGAACTTGTGATTGTCACCCCACAGTGCATCTACAGCAAACTGCACCAGACGGAAGTCAAAACCAGGGCTTCTAAAAAGTATAATATACCTTTTAGAGTTTTCTACAGTTCAATGTAAAAGTTATAATTTGATTCATCAACTATTCCAACAATTCGTATACAAGTTCAGCCAGTAATGGTTGGGTAGTTAAGTCTGCAGATGTCTGGCATTTCGAGCATAAGGAATCGAAATTTGCGAGTACCATGCATTCACCTATACGTTTTTCGTTCCTGCGTAAAAAGCAAAATTAAAATTCAATTGGGTTTCAAGTTCTGTACGAAAGGAAAAATTTAGTCTCTAACAACTCTACAAACATAATAGGGCAAATACATAGGGTCATAAAATATGAAATGTGTTAAGGTTTTTTTTAAATATAGTGGAAGCTCGGTTAACGAGCCCACTCCGTTCCGGCACCGATCTCGTCACGTGAAACACTCGTCTTGCGAAACGTACCCGACCAAACTGCATCAGTTTACTTACTGGCTGCAGGCGACCGAGGACCGAGGACCCACGCCCTGGGACCAAGATTCAACAGCGGATACAGGCATACGCACGCACTGACAACTTGTTAACTGAGTGGAAGCTCGTCAACTGAAAAAAATGTCCTGCTAGTGCCTCGCTAGTCACTTGAAATACTCGTAGATGGGGCTGCCCGTCACCCGAGGCTCCACTGTACAGCGAAGCGTTTTATGCATTAAAGTATGTGCTCATGTTGTTAAGAGCATTTTACTATTTCAGCGATAGCTTGTTCAGATCAATGGTGAAAACGGCCGGCAATTTTGGAAGACACATTTTACAGTGCTTTTGGAAGAAAGATGGCTTCCTGTGAAAAAGTCATCCAAAGTTCAGAAGAAGTGATAGTCATGGTGGATGACGGAGAACTTTTAACTCTAGCTCTTGTAGTTTTGTTACTGTCATTTGTGCGCTAACTAAACTAGGCTATTTTTCTGCATATTTTGTTGTCATTTTTTCCAGTCGGTTGCGGTATTCCACTGCCGTAATAAATGAGCCCGGTTTCATTATTTCATAACGGATAACACCTGCCCCAGACCACCAAACACCACCGTCTTCTTTTGACAAATATTACGGTTAAATCTGTGTTTTGATGGATTTTTCCTGTCCATCCACCGTGCCATACGTTTAAAGTTCTTGTTTCGGACCCACTTCTCATTTAATGTTACAACTCGCTTCAAAAGTGAATCAGGTTTATGACTAGAATTCAACAACGAGCAAGCCTCCAACAGTTGCTTTTTTCTGCTTTTCATTCAATTCAGTTTTAACTCACAAAGCCAACTTTTTAACCTTACCAACTTCAGCGTAATACGTTGGTACTGGCTGCTTACAAACATCCAACATCAAGGATAATTCATGTGCATTTTGAGCTATGTATGACTCGACGATCACCTTCAGTTCGTCATTATCCACTTTGGATTATGTCTGACCACATGGCGCATGCGTGAGGGTAAATTGATAAGAACGCAATTAGGTAAATGAATGTAATACTATCTGCGGTGTATGACTATAAATACAAAATATGCCATTAATACTCAGAGCTGTCGGTGCTACTGAACTTCCACGAAAGAAATCACCTTTACCTAATGGCAAGAATTTCCGACTCTTCCAACTTTAAACAAGAGTAATAAAAAAATCTTTAATATTTCTAAAGCACAATGAGATTTGGAAAGATGTTATATATTTGTCAGACTTCTGAAAAAACAAAATAATGTGAAAATATACTATTAGCATGAAGTAAGAAGCTGGCAAATTTGACCCTATAACTGGCTGCAAATTCCATACTCGACGACTCAGTATATAAACTGTTGCATGTAATTTGAATAGAACAGAGTCCACAGCATCATGCGGAAAAAGACCACCTGTCAGGAAATTGTTTTGCTTCAAGCCTCTAGGCTGCTTCTGGCTACGCATAGGCTGTCCATCAAATGTATGCAAAGTAGTGTCACGAGTGTAGCACCGCTTACGCTGTGCATGAGAGTTTTTCGTGTTCGCAGTTTTATGCAAAAGTGCGAAACTATGTGTCTGCGACAGAACAGCAGAAGCATACGAGGTAGTTTTTTAAAGAATTCCGCGAGTAGAGCCTAGATTGCAGCAGACTTCAGACACAGATGGGCAGTGAATCACCACATTGAGCTGGTTTATCCACTGTTCATAGGACCTCAGTAAACACCGGAATACCTCGGCATTTCAAAGACGTGTAATGTCTACCTTTGTATCCGGTCGTTGTAGTAAGAATTAAATGTTAAACTGTAATTATGCAACCCAACATATAGGCTAATCAATTTCGCGTGCGAATCGTCTGGCCGCACACCCGGGAGTCTAAAGCCTCTTAAACAAATATTTAGTTAAACAGATTCTTCGATGACTCAATGACAGGCCACCATTCCGTAACCAGTGAGTGAACGAGGTGCACAGTCCAGCAGTAGAAGGGTCCAAAGTAACAAAATAAAATAAAATGACCCGAAATGAAATCACATGATCACCCAAACTTATTGTGTTCTTTCATTTAAATGAATAGCAGAAAACCATAACTTCCGCAATACTAACTGAAAGTATAGGCAACGCTTGTATTACACCTAATGGAGATTTTATTTCATGTAGACTGGGACTGAACATTAACGATATAATAATCATTTTATCGATAATTTTGAGCTTCCAAAAATATCTCGCCTATTTGTGCATGCTGGCGAAGGAAGTAGCAATGGAACTCACCGGGTCGTTATGCTCACTCGATAGTGATGCCAGTCACCGTCGGAGCCGTTGACGCCTGGAATTGTCAGAATTGCATTTGCAAATACCAGAGTTGGTGTCCCGTTTTGGAGCTGAAAATTGAACGTGATAGTGTTGGCAGTAGTTTCGAAAAAAAGTGCCCACTTGATGTGATTTCGAGGCTAGTTTAGGCACAGTATGTGATATACTACAGCCGACTGCTCAATAGGATTTAATCGGTCCTTGCTTTTAATGACTCGGCTGCGCATGATAGCCTTATACCGATGTGGAATTCAGACGTCTTGTCCTACAGCAGTGCGTTCGGTCGGTTCTAACACGTCCTTGATGTATAGCGGCACATGCCATACCGTACGGGCTGGTTCTGGTTGAGTCCTCGGAGAGCGAACATACAAGCATCGGCTTATAATAGCCTTCGGATAGCAGTTCCGCATGAACTGGTCATGGAGATATCGGGCCTCGCATGCTTTTTCCTCCGGGTTAATGGAAGATTCTTTTGAATATAGCATACATAGCCCTGCGCAGGCATCTCCGGACTGAAATAACTGGTGGTTGATTGGTCCCCTGCCCACTTTAACTGTTTCTTGTTCTTTGTTGACGTCTTTATTTCTGAAGATGGACTACTGTAAGTGTTCGAAAGCTCAGACGAACAAAACCATGAGTTCGGTGACCGGCTTGCCTCCTTCTTATTTACCTAAGCACACACCTCGAATGCGAAAATTCACTTAAATTCTCCTAAACATACGGCAGGTGCAAGCCTACCCACGATAAATGATGCATGAAGGGTGTCATTGAAAACCGTTTGGTAGATTAAGTCTGCACAAACTGTCCGTAAACATCATAAAACTATAATTCATCTTGCAGCGATCAAACAGCGCAGCAGGGGTAGGTGAGGAGATGTGTATCCCCGTACGGTTGAGTTGAATCTACGGGATACTGTTGGAATATTGACATCTTTTCCGCGAGATCACATATAAGGGCAATTCTCATTTTTCCTTATCGCTTAAAGCATTATTTTTTTGCAAAAACAGCATATCATTACGTAAACACGCCTGAAATTAGTTATGAGTTGCCTACTCCGTGAGATACTGACCCCGCCTGATAACGGTGTAATGTGTTTTTGAACACTTTCCATGATGTTGAAATAACCGATGTTTCAGAGTAAAAAGCAAAATATGCGAGGTCACCAATGCCGACCTTACACCTTGTTTTCAAGCGATATCTATTTTGAGTATCACCTACGTAAGGTCACAGAAAACTGAAAAAAAATGACAGCTTTCCAACAGTCTACCATTTGATGTGCTTTCGCAACACTCTTGGGCGGTTTGTTTACTTGATAATACAGAATTTTTTTATGCAATTCAGAAAAAAATTGGGAGCGCTCCTTGTACGAGGCTATTATCACTGGGAAATCAAGTGAATGTAAGCTTTCATACTGTTGCACTATTTCGCTGGGGTCGAGGCGAACGTTAGATATTCAATTAACGCTATTTCCTCTTAGTCTGTAAGCGTTCCTGTCAAGGGACGATTAATAGAATCGTAAACAAACCAGATTTACTCATTCTAATTAACTAGACTCACGAATAAAGAAAGATAATCTGGATCAACTTGAAGTGCGATGAAATTTATCGAACGGGTCCGGATACGCATTTGGATGGCAAACGTTTCACTGGCCGGAAATGGCAGCGTGACGGCTTGGGTGGTGGTTGTCCACACTGGCGATTCTGAAGATTTAGAGAAGTAAAAGGTGGATTCATTTGTTTTAATAATTACTTATAAAGAAATAAGTAGTTATATGGAAAATTAATGCGTTGTCTTTACGCGTATGTTCAGCTATAGCGTCCATATATCCAGCATTTTAACGGGACCTCAAAGTCACACTGTTGCTACGGGAAACTGATGTGGGCAGGGTGCGAGGAATTCTGTTTAGCCTTCTGGATAAAATTCTGTGACCCACGTGAGTCCTGACAGGGCCACTACCAATCACTACTAGGGAAAATTGAACGGTTAACGTCACTACAGTATGATTTAACACACGGTTCCCGGTAGCGCCTTGTAGCTTAGATTGCTATAGAATTTACTACACACAGCCTTCTCCTTTTTCTCGTTGGTTCAATCCCCGCGGAGACCACAGAGTTTTTGGCAATAGTGTCGAAGGAATTACTCGAATAGGCAAAACCAGCAAAGGTAGCTTATGTAGCTCCACTCATATACCCCAGTCCCAGCATTTTGTCCTGCA